AAAATTTGATGGGGATTATGAGCATTGGACATTGCTGATGGAAAACTTGCTGAGGTCCAAGGAATACTGGACTGTGATAAGCCCTGGATTCAGAGAGCCTGCAGCAGGAGAAGAGCTCACAGCTGCTCAAACTAAGAGTCTGGAAGAACTGAGGTTGAAAGATCTAAAGGCAAAGAATTACCTGTTCAGCAGCATTGACAGGACACTGCTGAAGACTATTGCCAAGAAGGGAACTGCAAAAGAGCTATGGGATTCCATGAAAGAGAAGTTTCAAGGCAGTGCAAGAGTGCAAAAAGCTCAGTTACAGGTATTTAGAAGAAAATTTGAACTGCTAGAGATGAAAGAAGATGAATCTGTCTCTGAGTACTTTGCTAGAGTTATGGTTGTTGCTAATACCATGAGAAACTGTGGAGAAGATATGTCTGATGAGAAGATTGTTGAAAAAATTCTAAGAACTCTGACTGAAAAGTTCAATTATGTAGTCTGCTCTATAGAGGAATCAAAAGACATAGAACTCTTAACAGTTGATGCTCTCCAAAGCTCTCTTCTGGTTCATGAGCAAAAATTCAACAGGAAGTATGCAACAGTCATAGCTGAAGAAGAGCAGGCTTTAAGAGTCACTCATGACTATGGTAGAGGTGGGAGAGGCCAAGGCAGAGGTTTCTATACTGGGAGAGGAAGAGGAAGAGGAGGTCGAGGCAGAAACATGAACTCTGTGGAATGCTACAAATGCCACAGGCTGGGGCATTTTCAATATGAATGTCCTCAGTGGAATCATAATCAGCAGGCACACTTTGCAGAATCTGGAAATATGCAAGATAGAAGCTATGGAGACATGAGGGATGATATGCTACTGATGGCTTGTGTTGAGTCTGAAGACTCTGATGAGTGGGAAGATGAAACACTAGGCCTAATGGCCCTACTTGATCATGTCAGAGAGCAAACAAGTCATGACTGGTGGTTCTTGGATTCTGGCTGCAGCAACCAAATGAGTGGTGACAGAAAGTGGTTCACCAGCATAGACACCAACTTTGCTTGCAAGGTTCGACTGGGAAATAACTCCAAGCTAGAAGTTGCAGGAAAGGGAGAAGTCAAGATGATGGTGAATCAAAGGAGTATGACTATACAAGATGTGTTCTATGTCCCTGGACTCAAAACCAATCTGCTAAGTATTGGCCAGTGGCAGGAGAAGGGACTGGTGTTTGTGATCAAGGAAGGAATCTGCAAGATCTATCATGAGAAGAAGGGATTACTGTTGCAGACTAAAATGAAGTCAAACAGAATGTTTGTGCTTCATGCTGAGCATAATTCTGGGAATCAACATCTTCAGTGTCTCAAAACTGATGCTGCCATAGATCCTGTTCTAACATTATGACATCGGAGGTTTGGACACATGGGGGTGGCAAATCTACAACTTCTGCAGACAAAAGGCTATGTGAAGGATCTTCCAAAGCTGAGAGGAGGAATTGGAATCTGTGAAACCTGCATGCTTGTCAAGCAACATAGAAAACAATTCCCCAAGAAAAGTCAATGGAGAGCAACAGCAGCATTGCAACTGGTACACGCAGATCTATGTGGGCCAATTACTCCTGTGTCAAATGGAGGAAGAAGGTATATTTTTACACTAATTGATGATTATAGCAGGAAGATGTGGGTGTTCTTCATGACAGCAAAATCAAACACCTTGGAATGCTTTAAGAAGTACAAGCTACAAGTGGAGAAGGAGATGGATCTGGAGATTAAGTGCCTGAGAACAGATAGGGGTGGTGAGTTCATGTTAAATGAACTCAAACAGATGTGTGATGAAGCTGGAATAAGAAGGCAACTCACTGCTGCTTTCACACCCCAGCAAAATGGAGTAGCAGAAAGAAGAAACAGAACTTTGATGAATATGGTCAGATGTATGCTAAAGGATATGCATATTCCCTCAGGATTCTGGGCTGAAGCAGTAGCTTGGACCTGTCATGTGCTCAACAGGAGTCCAACTTCAGCAAATCAAGGCAAAACACCTCAGGAACTATGGACTGGTAAGCCTCCTTCTGTGTCTCATTTTAAAATCTTTGGTTGTGTTGCTTATGCACACATACCAGATCAACACAGAAGGAAGCTAGATGATAAGAGTGAGAAATGTCAATTCCTTGGTATTTCAGCAGTGTCAAAAGCCTATAAACTATACAATCCTAGAACTAACACAGTTGTGGTTAGTAGAGATGTTGTGTTTGATGAAACTAAGGGTTGGATCTGGAGCTCAGACTCATCACCAGATCAAACTAAACTGGTCTGGGAAGGCAGTGATGAAGATTGGGAAGATTCTGATCATGAAGAAGAAGGAGAATCTGAGAAGCCAGCAAGTTCAGATCATAATCCAGAAACTGCAGGAGCACAACCTGATAGTCCAAAAACTCCAGGTGGCACTGAAAGTGATAAAGAAGAAGAGGAAGATGCTGGTGATCCAACTGATGTGCTGGGGCTCCCTAGCACCAAAAGGATCAGAAAGCCACCATCCAGGCTTGCAGGTTATGACTGGCAGACTCACCTAGTTGTGCCTGACTGCATAGATGGAGTAGAAGACTGGATAGCATTGGTGGCCATGGCTGATGATCCACAGACTTATGAAGAGGCATGCAAGGATCCTAAATGGAATGAAGCAATGAAAGCTGAAATGCAGGCTATGAAGAAGAATCTTACATGGGAGCTCACTGATCTTCCAGCAGGATGCCAGGCAATAGGGCTCAAATGGGTTTACAGAACAAAACTGAAGGAAGATGGAACACTAGACAAGTTCAAAGCTCGTTTAGTGGTGAAAGGATATGCACAGAAGGAAGGCATTGACTACACTGAAGTATTTGCCCCAGTAGCAAGGTGGGATACTATCAGAACATTTTTGGCACTAGCTGCTTACCATGGCCTGACTGTATACCAGCTAGATGTAAAAAGTGCCTTCCTACATGGGGAACTCACTGAAGAGATCTATGTTGAGCAACCTCGAGGATTTGAGGTTGCTGGGGAGGAAAGCAAGGTGTACAGGCTGCATAAGCATTGTATGGGCTCAAGCAAGCTCCAAGGGCGTGGTACAGCAGGATTGAGGCTTATTTTGAGAAGTCTGGCTTCCAGAAGTGCAATTATGAACATACATTGTTCATTAAAAGGTCAGGATCTGACATTCTTATTCTCAGTCTATATGTAGATGATTTGATGTATGCAAGTAACAATCCTGTGATGTTTGAGGAATTTAAAACATCTATGCAAGCTGAGTTTGAAATGTCAGATCTAGGTAAGATGAGGTATTTCTTAGGGGTTGAAGTTATCCAGAAGAAGGAAGGAATATTTATCTGTCAATCCAAGTATGTACGAGAGCTGCTGGAAAAGTTCAAGTTGCTGGAATGCAACTTTGTGCATAATCCCTTCACACCAGGGTTGAAGATAACTAAAGCTGGTGATGGAATTGCTGTCAACCCTACCGAATACAAGAGATTGATTGGAAGTTTGCTGTATGTCACAGCTACACGACCAGATATCATGTTTTCTGTTTGCTTGCTGAGTAGATATATGGATTCTCCCACCAGACAGCATCTATTAGCAGCAAAACGAATACTCAGGTACTTGAAAGGCACTATGAATCATGGTATCTGGTATAGAAGAAGTTATGGAGAAGAGGATCAGAGGTTGACAGGATATACAGACTCAGATTATGCTGGGGATTCTGATGACAGAAAGAGCACTTCTGGTTATGTGTTTTTCCTTGCAGGAGCTGCTGTTTCGTGGGCCTCCAAGAAGCAACTAGTTGTGACCCTTTCAACAACTGAGGCAGAGTTCGTTGCAGCATGTTTCTGTGCTACTCAATGCATCTGGCTTAGGAATATTTTGGAAGAAATGAGATGGAGCAGCAGTGTGCAGGGTGGAACAACAATCTTGTGTACAACAGCTCCACCATTAAGCTGGCCAAAAATCCAGTTATGCATGGGAGGAGCAAACACATAGATGTTCGTTTTCATTTTTTGAGAGAGTTAGTGAAGGAGGGAGTTCTGGAACTTGAGTACTGCAGAACCAATGAACAGGTTGCAGACTTGATGACCAAGCCTCTCAAGCTTGAAGCCTTTCAACTCTTAAGGAGCAAGCTGGGGATATGTGATCTTGAAGATCTGGAAGCTAAGGAGTGATCAGAAGAAGTTTAACCGGCTTCAGTTCAGGGGAGGATTTTGTTGAAGGTTCTGAACTGAAGTTGGAAGTCCTTGTCCTCTACGGATTCGGATTACTTGAAGTTAGCCGTTTGAGTTAGTACGATATCGTTTCAATAAGGAGTCCTCTGTTTGAAGGCAAGCCACGTTTCTGGCTAAGTGTATGGCTGGTCCCTCTTGTTTGAAGTTAGTCAGTTGAGTCAAATTAGGTTGTTTATTAGTTGAGAGATTCCAGCAGTAGTGTAGGTTGCGCAAGCTGATTAGTAGGGCTTGCTGTTAGTAGTTGAGAGCATTGAGGCCGAACGTTGTGGCTCAAATGCTAAGTATTTAAGGTCTGCACTTTCATTATCAATAAAATTGTCAGTTTGCAATCCTTTGTGTTTATCAGTGCCGACTCTCTTGTATATACTTTTCCAACCAAACGGAATAAGTACATCCTCATACTCACCTACAACAGAAATTCACTCATTATGTAAAAGCCAAGAAGGCTAATAGGCTTCATCGTCAATACTCATATATATATAAGTAAAGAGTTTAAATTACTACACACTCATGATCCTGTCCTCGCAACAAATTGATTTACAAGAACAAGTATCATGATAAGGAAGATTACAAAACCCTCTATCGAAGAGGGCAAAAAAGGGTCGTCGGGGGGGAAAAAAGGTGGGCAGAAGAAGTCCTCTCTTTTAATTAGCGAGATAATTTAATTGAACCCGGGAAGCAGGACAAAGCTAGAAAAGTCGTCGGATTTTTCAGATGGGAGAAAACCGCAGCGGCGTCACAATTAATGAGAAGTCGTCAAATTTTGATGCATCATGCATATCAAGAAGAAGAAGAAGCAGCAGCAGCCGGCGGTACGTTGGGAATCCCTTGGCGTTGGAGCTCCACCAATACGCTGTCGACAGCTGGGGGTTTCAGTCCTAGCGGAAGCGGCAGCCACGGCTTCGATAAAACATCTCCGATGGCTGCGTCTATGCTCTCTTTCGACTGTCGTCATACGTTCATTATTATATATCAGTAGTTATTCTAGAAAGAAAAAACAAAAAAAAAAAAAAAGAAAGAAAAGGAGATGCCATGGCAGTAGCTAATAATGAATTACCGGTTGGACGTCGAATAGATGATTCGGGCCGGACCCGGGTTGCGGTGGACGCTGCTGCAGCTGCCCGCCGATCCCAGCCGATTCTGCTTTGTACATGGAATGGGGCGGCGGGAGGATGCCGGCAACTGGTGTCGCCGGGAATCTCTGCGAACACATTATTGCATGCACGAACACGCACAGTTAAAAATTTAGAGTATCGGATATTTTGGATAACAAACTCTATCTCAATTTTGAACTAATCGGGATTTGAAAAATGCTACTTAAACACTAGGTTTTAATTATTTAAATTATAGATCCCACACACTAAGAACTATGATGGCAACATATACTTTGTAGGATGTATTTCGACAAATCATGATTGTCAATTATCACTTCTAATTAAAAATTGATCTTAGTGTATTAGATTTATAGAATAAAGATATATATTTTCATCTTTAAATATTATAGTATAGTAGCATGTACCAAACTATGGTGAATTCAAGGTTTACATATCGGTCTCTCTTATTTAGAGCATGACCATACTTTTTAATTATATATCTGCTTTTAAATAAAATATGGTTTAGAAATTCTTGTCAGAAATTTAACTTATCGGAAGCAAATAATGGTTGGCATGGCAAGATGTTGGAATGCAGACAGATGTTGGAAGGAAAGGCTGCAACTGCAAAAAAGGACGGAAAAAGAGAGAAGGAATGATTGAATGGTAGTAGCGTTTAGCTTACCGTTGGTGGAAGTACTTGCTGCGGAAAACATGGCGTCCCCGGGGTCAGTCCAACTCCAGCTCCTGCTGGCACCTACAATATCCCACAAACCAACGCCGGCCACTGCGTTAGTTACCGAACTTTCAAGTACTCTTATAACCTTTTTTTTTTTTTTTGTAATAATTAATTGATTCAAGGGGTTTAGCTTAATTACTCGTTGGTGATGCCAATATAAAGGATCCACCGCCGCCGGAGGAGGAGGAGGATGAGTCCAGGAGGGATGATGATGATGATGATGAGGAGGAGGAGGTAGATGTTTAGGCCACATATGGATTAAGGATTGATCCATCGATGGATGTCCCCAAACATGCAACGGCCTGACCAAATGGTGCAGTTGAGGAACAGGAGGAGGAGGAGGAGTCGCCGCCGGTGGAGGAAACCCCATCATCGGTGCATGCCACGCCTGCTTCTGGTGCCCGTTCATCATCACGTCTCTCTTCCCCGCTGTTCCCCCGCCGCCCCCGCCGCCGTAGACTTGGCGCCTCTGGGTCCAGGTCGCCGCCTCCGCTTCACGAGCTAGTACATGCTTCCGGTGTGACCTATATTTCTACACAAACCCCCCAAGAAAATAAGTAAATTATGTTTGAAATTTATAGATAAGAGAGAAAGAGGTGCAAGATAGAGAAGAGTAGGGACCTGGAGGTGGCTGGCGACGTTGTGGCGGGTGAGGCAGTCGATTCCCATGAGCTCCAAGATTCTTGAAGGCACGGCCTTATCCACCCCGAGCTGCTCCACTGCCTGCACAAACCTTCTGTGCAGCTCTGGCGTCCAATCCACCTTCACACATATAATCATCCAAATCAAATCTTATAACGAGAAATCGAGAATGTAAGAAAGTGAAAGAAACATAGAGATTTACATATTTTGCTAGTACGCGATGTATATTAGTACGAGCAAGAGGAAACATGTTCTATATAATAACAGATTCAGATTTCAGAAATTGAGATGATAATTAAAAGAACATGAATAACAACCCAATCTACAAATTAAACATAAGAAACCTATCCAACCTACACATCTCTCTCCCACCTCTCTTTACTGGCTTTCTCTTCATTTCATTTTGATTTGTTTTGTGTGTAGATCCAAGAAGAAACCACCCAAAACACACACAGAGAGAGATGAGACACGATGGAATGGATAACCCACGCTCCCCCCAAGACTCCCGTGACCCATTTTTTTGGCATTTCTCTTCATATGAATTATTATTCATGCACGAATTTAAACCTAACTAACTAATCAATAGCTATGCTTGATAAATTAGATTACTTTGTTGGTCATTAAGTACCTTCACTTTTCTCTTCCCGAGATTGCCCTTACTGCTAATCCCTTGCGCCGACGAAGTGAACGGCGCCGTAGTGGACTTCCTCCCGCCCTTCTCGCCTTCTCTCACGCTCTTACTCGCCGGAGCCGGTGGATTCAACACCACCGACGACGAGGGAGACGCCGACCCTCCGTTATCCTCTCCTCCGGATCCGGAACCCTCCTCCTCCTCCTCCCTCGGACGCTTGCAGCTCTTCTTACTGCTACTACTATACTGCTCGCCGTCGTCGTCGACAACGATAACGAAATCGTCGACGGGAGGCGTGGTGGTAGTAGTACTAGTCGCGCCGTGGATTTCGGAGTCGTCGACGGCGGAGAAGTCGGCGAGAATCTCCAGATCGGGGAGGACGTCGCCGACGGCGAACAGATCGTCGAAATCGATGCTCTCGAGCAGCAAGCTGCTGTTCCCGTCCGAGAAATCAGGGATGAACTGATCCTCCTCCCCCGCCGCCGCGGCAGCCGCCTCGGCCGCATAGTAGTCGTTCCCTTCCACCTTACCAACTTGCTGGCAGCTCCCATGATGGACGTCTCTCAAAGGCGCCGCCACTGGTGACACAGCCAGCATGAATTTAACTAGAACGGGGTAATTAATTAATAATAGTAATTAATCCCCCTCTCCTACTATATATCGTAATGCGAATTAGAGTACTGCCTTAGTGGTGTAATATATATTCTATAATATTTGCATGGAAGCAAATATAGAAGAGAGAAGAGGAAGGAGAGCTTGTGGGTTTGTTCTATAGCTGGCTATGGCGAGCGAGCTCGTGTTGCAGTGACTAGTGGTATGATTTTTTCTTCTTCTTGTAAATATATGTTTGTTGAAGAAGGAGAGTAGGAAGCTGTAAGAGGGTATAGCTAGTGGGAAGGAGAGAGGTTGGATGTGAACCACAACTTGGGGGATGTTTTGTGCGTTTCTGCGAGCGATTGAGAGAGATGTGTGAGTGAGTGAGTGTTGGTTTTGTTTTGACGTTCTTGTTTTCTTTGTTCTTAAGCGTTATAGCTCTCTCTCTGCTGCGGTCTCACTGTCTACGCCTGTGGGTAGTGGCTGGCCGATCCAAGACATATAATTGTAGCGATTTTTTATTTTAAATTTCATTTTTATTAAAATTTTGTTTTATATACTATATTATATTACTGTATAAGGGTTTGTGGATGGCCTTTTTTGATGAATTGAAAAATCTGGGAAAGTGCGAGAGGGGTGATGATGATCCTCTTTTTCTTGCGTTCATGATTTCTAGATACAAGACAAAGATTGGAGTCTCTATTTTCTATTGGAGCGCTCCACACACTCCCCATTCCACACAGATTATTACTGAATGTGAATCATATACGTATCTGCACATATATATATATAATATTGATGTGTAGCATTTGCACATTAGTTTGGCTTCTTTTCCTCATATTGGTTTTTTTTTTGTTGTTGTTTCTTTCATGGTGTGTAGCCTTTGAAAAATAGTTAACCATTGTTTGTTAATTGTTAGGCTGTGAATGAGTCAGAACTCCTTGAGGAAAACTTGTTCACTATGGTTACTAATGTTAATTAACTTATACAGTTCAAGTACTGTTATGTAATTGTACCAGCTCACTTGTATTTAGGGTTTTTTCTAGAAAACCTATAAATATGTACGGCCACATCCTATAGAGTAGAGACTAACGCGAATAAGAAAGACTTTGGAGAGCTTTGCCTCTTTCGTGGACTTGTCCTGATTCTCAGGGAAATCATGTTAAATCGTTGTGGTCTTTATATTTCCGTACGTATAATTGATATGGTATCAGAGCATTGATCCGTTGGGTCTTCCTCTCGTCGCCATGCATTCGTTTGCTTTCTGTAGGTATTTGGTTGACACACTACTATTTTCGAAGAATCCTTTTGTTCGAGAATTTGGTTGTTTCTTCTTGATGTTGGTGATATATATGGATTCCCCAAAGCTTGACTCGGTTGCAATCAAGTTTGATGGTAAGAATTTTCCGCTGTGGGAATTTCATTTTAGGAACTTCGTTGCTGATAAGCGTATGCTTGGTATTCTGTTGGGCTAGGTCAAGCCTCCTATAGTTGATGCGGTAGCAAAAGATCATGAGGACTGGGCACTAGTGAACGTGCAGCTTATCACATGAATGGCTTCTAGCATCGATGTACCTACTGCCTTAGGGTTACGTCGTTCTGCCACTGCTGCCGAGATGTGGCGGCATATTGTTGGAACTCATTCTCAGAATAGCGCCTCACGTTAATATGAATTCGAAATTGAGATCCGCCGCTGGTCTCAGGGAGATCGCGACATTCACAATTATTATCAGGCGAGTCTTCATCTTTGGACTGAGTATGATATGTTAACTGCTTCATTTATCACAGGTGCTGAATCGGCAGCTATCATTAAGGAACGAAGTCGCACCAGAGTCATGCAATTTTTGTCTAAACCTCGTCCTTAATTTTAGCCCATCCATGCTACTCTCATTCATCGCGGCATTACAACTTTGGATGAAGTCCTGTCGGAGTTCGGCCGGGAGGAGACACGACTTCGAAATCAGTCTCAGATTAGTGGTTCACAATCTACTAAGACCACCTTGCCGGTCAATCATTCTGGTGCTCCACGGACACAGTCCAATCGACCTCCATCCGGGGAGGTAACTTGTCATTTTTGTCGTGAGGCTGGACATTATCAGATTCATTACAAGAAGAAGAATTTTTGTCACTGCTGTAAGAAGCCTGGCCTACTTTACTTCGTCGGGGCAAGGTGCGCAATCTGCATGCCTCCAGTGCGTCAGGCTTTTGGTCTTCTTTTACTGTCTAGGATCTTCCTCAGTCACAGCCTGCGGGTTCGTCGCAATTCTCTCCTGACTTGATTCGCCGTCTTGTTCAAGAGGGTCTCCTTGGTGCTCTTACCTCTGCCTTCTCTACTGGTGCCGCTCCAGGTAATTCTTTCCGTTGGCTTCTTGATTCAGCCGCTTTTAATCACATGACCCCAGCTCGTACAACTTTCGCTCATCTTCGACCTTCGTCTCAAGTTCAGCTTCATGTTGCAAATGGGGCACGTTTGCTCGTGCAGGGTTATGGTATAGCCTCGGCTGGTTTAGTCCATCTCTCTCGTACGTTATATGTTCCCCAGCTTGTTCACAACTTAGTCTCGGTCGGTAATTAACAGAGGATGGGTGTGAGGTCAAGTTTAATTCAGCTGGCTGTGTTGTGTAGGATTAGAGGACGGGGAAGGTAATAGGGTGACTCGTGACACAACTCCTAACAATGGCCAAGTGTAACCAATGAAAGGGACTCCAGTATAGTGACTCAAGTAATAATATCGAATCCACGGGTCTCTAGAGTTACTATTACTCAGCTTCAGTTCATTATTTAGCAAACCAAATTAATATAGAAGAACTAAAACTACTCTAGAAAACTACAGTTAAAGTTAATCTAATTACAGGTTGGGAACTCACTTAGGTATGATTACCCCTAGCCACTAGCCAGACTAACGATTGATGATCTCTAACTTGTTTCACTTTCATTCACAATGCGGAGAATCCTTGACTAGACCTTGAGTCTCGACTAAAGGAACAAGGCCCTCTTGAGTCAATTGCCTAGAGGGACGTATCCTTCTCTAGAACAACTGATCAAGGCGTTCTGAACTAGACTCCCTCTATCGAAAGAGGTTCTCAATCGATACAAAGCAATGAATCAACCCTCGACTAAAGAAATCGATCCACTACTATCAATCTATGGTGCTCTATTGACCTAATCAGGTATTCCTTCTCATAGGATCAAAGCAGAATCAATAATCTCGACTAAAGCAGAATTGAATCATGAAAACATGCATAGATTGAATATGAACTCAAGATTATCAAGTCAGAGTACTCATACAATCATCCAATCAAACAAACAGAGCTAGGGTTCCTCAAAACCTAAGTGAAGGGAAGTTACTCCATAGAGAAGAGAGAGACTGCAGAAATCTGATCTAGATCTTCAATCTCCATCTCCAAGCTTGATTCCCGAACTCCAATGGTGAAGAAATACTCCAAAATAGCTCCAAGAATGTTCCGAAGTCGCTCTCTCTCTCTAGGGTTTGTCCCTTGGGTGTTTGGGAACCAAAAACCCAGCTCTCCCCTTTCCTTTGGCTGAAAATCGAGTTTTAAACAGAAATTCCCGATCACGCGGCCAGGCCACACGGCCGTGTGGCTTTCCCAGCCTCCCGTGTGAAGGCTCGGTGATATCCACACGGCCACGACCCACACGGCCGTGTGGAGTTCCAGGATGCCCGTGTTGCTTGCTCAGCCTCTGTATAATGCTTCGTTTCTCCCTCGTCCGGACTCCGAATCAGTCCCCGTTTGATCCCAGACACTCGTAGTCTCGTCCTCTTTCTTTTCATGACAATCTTGCAGGATTCTTTGTCCATAAAGTGAGAAGGAAATCCATTCTTTTTCAGATCATGCCCGAGTTTCTTCTCCCGAATCGTCAATTGATCTCTGATTGATTTGAAACTTGCGCCTATGCTTCACTTTATGTGTTAGGACCTGAAATGTGACAAAGGAACACAACCTAGCATAAAATAGGACAAAGACGCAATAATTCAAGCTCAAACAATCAAGAAACAAAGGGGAAAACATGTGCAAATACCGAGTCATCATAGGGAAAGGAAGTAAACATTGGAGGATTTTCATGTTGGATGAACTTCAAGAGCATACAAGGGAGGGATCCACACGTGATGAAAGGCGAACGAGTCTTGCAGAGTTTGAAGATGACAGTATGGACAAGCATGTGGGTTCAGTTCAAGATTGTTGCCTTTTGAATAGTTCTGATTTGGATTTTTCAGATTTGACGTTTTCAGATTGTATGAATTCTAAGTCCGCTGGTTGTATGGGATATTCGGTTAAGACTTTGGATTTTTTGGTAAAGTTTTCTACTTGGGATTTATGGCATTGTCATTTGGTCCATCTGCATTAAGCTCGTTTAATGACTATGTTTTGTCGTAATATGCTTCCAGATAAGTTCGATTTGAGATTTATTTCTCACGCATCTTGTGTTAGTTGTATTAAGGCTAACGTGCATCAAATATCATTCTCATGAAGTGATATTGTGTATGAAAAATCATTTGATTTGGTGCATTCTGACTTATGGGGGACATCACCAGTGACCGAATGTTTGGGGTATCAATATTTTGCACTATTCATAGATCACGTTACGAGGTTTACGTGTATATTCTTTCTTAAATAGGAATCTCAGTTGACATTGCTAAAAACTTTGTACAAATGGTGAAGACGCATTTTCAAAAGACTATCAAGGTGCTTAGATATGATCTTGAAGGAGAGTTAACGTCCCATGATATGCTAACGTTCTATAAATCCGAAGGAATTCTACCTCAGGAGTCATGCCGAGCATTATCGCAACAGAATGTTCTTGTAGAATGCAAGCATCGCCTTGTTCTAGAACTTACTTGAGCTCTATTATTTCACACCCATGTTCCGACATGGTTTTGGATGGAAGCGATTCATACTGTTGTTCACCTCTTAAATTGCCAGATTACACCTTTATTGGGTCAAATTTTGCCATACCAGTCACTTTTTGGAAAGGTACCCAAG